GGCACTTAAAGAATGTTACTTATTTCCTTCATGCCACTTCTGGATAGTAATAGATGTTAGGGGTGAAAAACGACCCTATAAAATAAAAGATTAAAAGATAAATTAATACTTTACTTTTTTCATTTCAAATTGATTCTGTTGATTTCAACATATAACTTGAGTTATGCCACTGTATTGCAGTTTTCAAGCCAGAAAATAAAAGAAGAAAAATGAGGAAAGGATGAAAGACGGGAATAAAGAGTCAGCAGAAGAGGGAGGGAATAAAAGAATGGAAAGAAGAAGGCGAGGTCTTTCATGTGGGTTGTAGCCATTACAGCTTTATAAAGAGAAACTAACAAGATGAATACAATATAATATTGCTTGTCCAAGCATCTGCAGCCCGTTAAAAAGCTTTGCCATAGGAATAGATTTTCTTTCTCTCTCATTTGCACTCTCACTCTAGCTCATGTTCTCTCTCACATTCATTCTGTTTCTCGTACTCTTCCAGATGATCATAGTAGGAACTAAACGGCAAAGAATGTGTCAACATGTGGGCAAAGCTGGTCTTGGAAATCCAATAAACAAGACATAAAATAAAAATAAAAGTAAAAAATAAATCCCAAATAGGTCTTTTTATTTAACATAAGGCCAAGGAAGCTATCAGGCGCTGCTGAATACTGTCCACTAACTGTACAAAATATCAACTGCATGCCTTGAAAACATCAAAATATCTGCTGGAATGCCATAGAAATAAATAACTTCTGCTATAAACACATGAAAACATATCAAACTGTTATCTCTTTAAACATATTGTAAATAAAAAAATTACCAGTACTTCTACACAATAAATATTAAGAAACCATTGACATAGTTGAAATGCACTCATATAAATTAACAACTTTAATTACACTAGCCAAACAGACGTTGGTTACAGAATCGCATGTAGTATGCCAAAATAAAAAAAAAAAAACAAACAAACATCAACCACAGAACATAAAAGTTTCAAACAAAACAAGCTTCAGATTATCTTGGCTTTCATAATCATATTTTTCTTTTAAAGAAAAATATCAACCCATTGTCAATGCACTGTTTTTCAAAGCATTTAAATAGTAAAACCCACTGGGAATTAATACAGAAAAAATAATTCTTTATGTATACAAATAAATAATAATATAGCTGAGACCTGTGGTTTTTTTCTGCAATTGAAGATGTGAACAGCTTCTAAGCATTCTTGGTTTTTTTTTAAATACAATCTATTCAACAGCTTCCCAGTGGTCCAAAGTTTCATTTAAACACATACAGAATCCACCTCCAAATTCTCTGCCCACATCTACAAGTTTCCCTGATAATGTAGGTTTTCAGGGTGACTTGTTTTCCTCTGTGTCCAAATGGAAAGTTGCCAAAGGCCTGGATTTTTCCAAGTGGACTTGAAAATTTGACTCTTAAGTTTAATACAATTGAGGCATTTGCATTATCTTTACTTTAGAGTCCCTTTTTCACAGGGCTGGGGAAAAGAAATGGAATTCTATCTTACAGGAGAATGCAGATATTCTCTCTGTGAAGAGTGTGGCATCAATCTCAAATAAAAATAAAATGGGCTGCTCTTCAGAGATAGGGAAATCTCAATCAGAGTCCTGAGGGTCTCCTTACTTTTATTTGAGAAACATTTATCTATAATGTCAATTCAGTCTATAAAATACTTATTATTCTTCATAGATTAAAGTACTTGTGGGCAAATATTTTTTCTGAACTTCTGAGATTAATATGTGTAGATTTTTAAGAACCTCGAGATTCACCCTGGAGAATAACTGGAGATGTGTTAAGTCAGATAGAGCCACCATTGTTTCAGGAAAAACACCTGATGAGAAACAATACAGTAGAATTTTAAATCTTTTCCTTTTGGTATCATGCTGCTATGTGAAAAGTGTAGTTGTTCACAAGACTGCATATCGTCCAACATTATTAAAATTGATAGTGACAGTAATTTCTAATTTTGAGGCCATATAAATGTAACAAAACTAGCTTAAAGTTCATGAATATGTGACAACCCAATCATTTACTATCCAATCAAAAGACTACTGTACATATTGCTCTGCTTCTAATGATTTTGGTCACTAATCAAACCCATTTTGCCCTTAATACACTTAGGATTTAGGGTTTAAGAACAAAACAGACTATTTATATTTGAGATGAGTGGGACTGCACAAAGGTATCTACTGACTTTATAACTTCCTGATTTTCCCACTGCCTGGGTCATATCGGCTATCCCCCAGTGGACTGGGACCATGTCCTCATACTTCTTTCACAGGTTCCAGTGGCAGTCCTAGTAACAAAGAAGAGGCAAATCTAAAGGCCCTCAAAGTTTTTCAGGAAAATTGAACATCTACTCCTCTCCTTAGTCATTTCACCTACCCTCCTCACAGGCAGGTTGTCATAGCTAATAATTAAGAGTGAGGGGGAAAATAGTAATATTGTATGTTCTCCTCTCCTGTTTTAATTAGAATTTACTCCTGAGCTTCTAACACAGAACATGCTGTATTTCCTGCATAAAAAGGGTGAATCCCTAAACCTAGGGAGTCTATTTGTCTTATAATGAAATGAATTAACCTATATAAGACTAGTGTTATAGTTCAGTGATTTAGCATATGTTTTGAGAAGAGCTAAATCATCTTTTTGTAGTGTTTCTCATTGATATGTATTTTTCTACAATTTCTTTTTTAAAAAATTGATGTCTGATAGTTGAAGTAGGGCTAAAAACCTCAATATTTTACAGTGTACTGATAACTACAATTCTGATACCCCCTCCTAAATTATTAGCAATTTTGTCTCCGTTTTCTGGAGATTTTTGCTATTTTCCAACCATAAGTAAATAGAAGGCTCTGATTTTGGTTGATTTTTTTAAAAGCCCATAAATGAAGAACTTATTAGCTGTTCTAAGCAAGCAAAAGACTGTGGAATAAATTAGATAGAAACTGCTTTAAGCATGAATTTGAATATTTACAAAACAACATAGTTCTTGTTTGTTTGTTTGTTTGGTTGTATCTGAATCAATACCTACCAACTACTGCACTAAGAGTTTTGTCTATAAATTAAAAAATAATAGGCATTTATTATTCTTCCCATCCCTGTCTCCTCTTAAGTGTTCATTTCCTTCCTCCCAATCTTTTACTACCTTACCCCCAAATTCCTTAACTTTTTACCACTGACAATATTTATCCCGGTTTGTGCAGGTAATATTTTTCAAATTTGGATTTTAATCATTAACAGGTATCGATTTTTTTACTACTGTTCAAAGAATTCTTTTCCCAGAAAACATCTAATTTAAGATTGATTCTAATAGATACTATCTATATCTATGATAATTTTTTTAAATCAACCGAGAGTTTCAATGAACATTCCTCTGTAGGTGAAAACATATAAGAATGGGGGTGTAAGGAAGAAATAGGAGAAAGTTTAATCCCTGTGCATTTAAAGAGGACCCTTCTAAATATTCTCTGGAATTTCCAGGCTTTTTTTTCCATCCAAATTCTGAAATGTGCCCACTTAGTTCAGAGTAAAAGAAAAACTATATAGCCTATCCTTCTTAAAAATACTGTGTTTTGCACACAAACATTCATTGCCTTAAGAACATTTAAAAATGACAGCCTGAAGTGCTTAAAATGTATATGGACATGATACAATACATGTATATATACACACAGATATGCATATGCACAAGCAATGTATATATACATATACAAGCATGTAGCATTTCATAAACTTGATTGAACTTGATTTCCAACAGTGTACAACTACTGTACATCCAGTATGAAATGTCCTGTTTCATGGATGTAAAAGGAGTCAAAACCAAAACTTCTCAGGTCTAGTAAACCTGAACACAATCCGCCCTACTCAACCTCAAATCCAAACCCCTGACTCATTAATGGTGAATGATACCAATCACAGACAGACTGTTTAAAGGCTCACACAAATGTCTTTGGTGTATGTGTCTATTTTTTAAGGTACAAAATAATAATTATAATTATAATAATAAAAATAGCTATTTCGTGTGCTGTAGCAGTTCTCTTATAGCTCACATTAAGTGCAGCTCTTAACCTCCCCCCCACCCATCCCCAAGAAAATACTTGTTAAATAAGCATTAGACAGGTCAAACACCATTGTAGTGCAAATAGTAAACGATTAAAAAAAAACAAACATTTACAAAATATAGAAATGTTTGGATCCAACAGATGGACAAACATATTCCTTTCAAGTATCTCTCCTTGAAGAAAATAAAAATTAATCAGGTTACTTCCAATACAAAAGAGTCTCTCTTTTTTGTTCTCTCTCAGGTAAACAGTTTCAAACCTATTAGGTTGCATAGTTCTAAGATCATAAGCACCTTAACGAAATGTAACTTGGTATTCTTCTTTTTCTTGATCCTTTTACTCTTTCCATTCTTGTTCTTAGTATTTTTTTTAAATATTTTTGTTTTGTTTTGTTTGTTGCGAAAGTGGTGCGGAAAAAGAAAATGTGACTCCCTGGACAATACTGTTATTTTTTTTAACCAGGATACATGTGCATGTGGTGTGTAAAAAATAGCTGTGTAGTGTGTGTGTGTGTGTGTGTAGTACATGTGTGTGTGTATGTATGTGAAAGGATATAAACAGAAATAGTGTCACAGACACAAACTTTATGCGCTAGGGAAATTGGGTGGGAAAGTGCCTATAAAAGGCCCTTTCAAATTCATGGCTTTCTCAATGCGATTTGGGACATGATAGCCCACATTATTGCAGACTAGACAGTTGACTTCAAAGTTCACACCAAAAGGGAACCACGAAGGGGAGAGGGCCATCTCTGTCTCAACAACTGAAGTCATCAGATATTGGAAGAAATAAGGGCACCCTGTTCTTCCCATTCCCTCCCCGCCCCCAGTTCTATCTCTGCTTCATCTCTGAGCCTTGGCTAAGGACTTTTGCACATTTTCCTTCATCTGTTTCAGGTATTGTTCTTAGTTTTTAATTTTTGTTTTGTTTTATTTTATCTCTAATTTTCTGGCCGTTTAACGCAGAAACCCTAAAAAACAATTCTTCATGTTGCCACTGTCTTCTCGGGCCAACTTCTGTTTCCCTTCCCCTCGAGCTGGGCAACCCTATGAGCAGCCACACTCCTCCACGATCATGTTCTGAATGTCCTTTTTGATGATGTTCTGACCATCATCATAGTACAACATGGACATGGGCCTCAGCTTGGTGGGCACACAGCACGACTTGAGGTTGGCGAAGGGGCTGTGGCCCCGCATGCGGTAGTGGTTGATGACGGTCGAATGGAAGGAGAGCGAAGAGCCCGAGGTGCCCGCTATGTGGCTGGGGCACTCGCCCTCGCAGTAGTTGGCGTGGTAGCCAGAGGGTGCGATGATCCAGTCATTCCAGCCAATGTCCTTGAAACTAACAAAGAACTGTTTCTTACAGCAGATATTGACCTTGCCATCGCACTCCAAGCCTCGCCGCCGCCGGCGGTGAGGGTGGTCTTCAGACTGCCGGGCCTGAAGCATGAGGAAAGGTCTGTGAGACTGTTCCTTCTCCTCTTCGCCTCCTGCCCCGCCATCACCGTTGTCCTTCTTCCTCCCTTCGCCCTCTTCTTTCTTCTTCTTCTTGCCCAGGAGCACCAGGCTGGCACCGGTCTCCTGGCACTGTTCACAGGCAAATCGAATGTCCAAGGAGCTCTTACCCTGGTCCAACAGGCGCTGGATACTGCTGGAAACAGGAAAGATGTGCCAGGTGCTCTTGCGCGCATCCACCACCTTCTCTGAGATCAGCTGTTCACTCCGTTCTCCCTTCAAGCCCACTTCCTCCACCTCCTCCCCTGCGTCCAAGCTGCTCTGCTTTTGCTGCTGGAAAAGGCGGATGGTGACTTTGGTCCTGGTCCTGTTGGCCTTGGGAACTTTTAAGAAGAGCCAGACTTCTGCGCGCTCCACTACCGACAAATCACTTCCTTCCTTGGAAATCTCAAAATGTAGTGTCTTCCTGGTTGCGCCTGAAGATGAAAACACAGCACAAAAGGCGTTAGAGAGACGGTTAGACCCTCAGCTGGCACTGCTTTTTAATGTCAAGTAAGGAGGAGGCTTCTGTTAATAAGCCACAAAGAGCAAAGCCAAGCCAACCACAGGCGGCAGATCAATCCAGCGTGCCAATTCCTGAAGGCCTGCAAGCTAGCAATGGCTCTTAACAATTTTAAATGACTTTGAATATAATAATTGTGAAGTACGAAAATGATAGAAAATTCTACATTTAGCATCCATCAAGTTAGGTGGGGATACAGAGATGCTCATTCCTTGGTGTGTTCTCAGTGGCTGTTAAAACAAAGTTGAGTCTAAGTGAAGGAAACTGAGCTACAAAGTCTAGAACAATCTCTCTCTGCTGCCTTTTACAGAAAAGTGTGCCAACTCTTTTTCAGTAGGGAAAAGGCCTAGACTACATGTCCACTTAATTCCGTTTTACCATCTATAAGATGATAATGACACAGATAAGACTGGACCTGTATTCTTACAGATTTGTAAGAATCAATGGGAGCACACACTTTGTGGTACAACTAGTGATCGAAATGGTATTATTCTCATGAACATACGCAAGGACACTCCCAGCAGTCTCTTCTGTGGGTGTGCAGGCACGAGGCAGGCTAGCTTCATCTCTTGTCACAACTTTGCTTAGCCTTCTGCCTCCACCTGCAGTTATATCTTCTCAGGATTCCAAAACCCACTATCTCCAGTCGATTCCTCCTCCTAGTGACCCTGTAGGACAGAACAGAACTGCCTCATAGGGTTTCTGAAGCTGTAATCTCTGTAGAAGTACACTGCTCCATCTATCTCCTACAGAGCCGTCCTTGAACAGCCAACCTTTCTGTCAGCAGCAGAGCTCTTAAGCACTGCCCCACTAGGACTCCCCCCTCCCCCTGAAATAGCTCTCTTTCATTTGTCTCTCTGATGGAGTCAGGCTCCCTCCTCAAACACTCACTTCTTATTAAGCAGATAAAAGAATCTTTCCCAAATAGAAACCTGCTCAAATTACTCTCTCTTTGAGGTCATTTAGTGAGCTCCTATTCTTCTCAGGGTAGAGGAGAAACTGCCCAGGGTTCCAGGGTTCTGCATAAGCCACCCCTTCCCTAGTTCTCTGTGGTATAAACACAGAATGTTTCTTTGAGGTCTTGGAGCATTGCATGTTCTCGCTTGTTCTACACATGCTGCTCCCAATGCCTAGAATATTCTGGCTCACCACCACCAGCCATAAAACATACATCAGTAGTGGCTAACTGTAATAATGTCTCTGTGAACAAATTAAATGGCACTTCCTCTAGGAAACTTTGGAAATTTTTCCCACCTGCACCCTCCAGCCTGGCCAGTTCAAGATGCCCCAGTGCCCAAAGTTTATCTGTTTTGTCCACTGTTATCACTCAATACTTAGAAAAAAGAAGGCAATTACAAGAAAAGTCCCCATTATTGAATAAAAACTGCCTTACATTGAGTTAGGCCTCTGAAGCCTCCACATTTGCCTACCCTTGGGATTGCAACTTAAAGAGCACCCGTAACATGTTCCCAATAATAGTTCTTCCTGATACTAGGATCCAGGGGGGTACACTTTGCTTAACATGCTTGCTAGCCAAAAAGTTCCTATTCAGTCAGAGATGGCTCAGGGGAAAGCATGGCCTTCTACCTCCAAGAACCAACCATTGGAAATGCTGCAGAGCACAGTTCTGCTCTGACACGCAAGAATCTGCCCTAAGTCAAAGTCAGCCCTGTGACAACTTGCTGTTTGCTAGTGTCACAGATCAAATCTCTGCACTGCCAAGCAGTTGGATTCAAGGATCACTCCCTTCCTGCCTGACTTTCAAATGAGAGTGTCATCTGTTTCTTTCCCTTTCCACCAGCACCTGTATGTTTATTCCTCTAACAATATTCGCTGTAGGAAGCAGGTGTCCAAACTACAGTCATCCAATTCATTCAATATTCATTCAATACTTATACTGTGGCCACTTGCTGCTGAACAGAAAAACACCTTCTATTTCTGTGGTTGCCTCCTGCAAGAACCTCCTTGCAAGTGTCTGGCTTTTCATACCTTCACATGCATGCCATGTAAAATCTGAGGACAATATTAAAAATTTCACCTTAGCACTTGCAACTCCCTAAGAGGATCTCCTGGCCTGGATTTCTATAGCTAGCGGAAATCAAGCCATACTTATCACTCCTAGGCTCGAGATGTTTACGGTACTATAAATTTTAGGCACAGTTTCAAGTTCTCTGCAGCAGAAGGCAGACTTCTCTGTGCACTGCACGCTGTCGGTTCTGTTCTTAATTTAACACATTCTGTATGCGGTGATTATGATAGTAATGGGTGTATGGAGGGAAGGGTCGAGGAGGGCTGCACATTTCTAAGAAAGGCTTTCTGAAGTCTTTACACAGCCTAGGCCATGGCAATGAGGATGGTGGTGGTGGTGGTGGTGGTGGTGAGTGGAGTTCCTCTGACTCCCACCTCGTGTCCCTGACAGGAGTTGTGATGAATAATAAACCTGGGTTTCTGATTAGATCACCAGAGCATGAGGCAATTTATGGGAGAAGGAAAGGTGATGACTTTTTTTTTTTTAAGTGAATCCAGTATTCCCCTTTGTAAGGAAGGATGAGTGCTTGGGTTGTTTATTAAGATTCTAGAGAGGAGAGTTAATTATTTAAATCTAAAAAAAGACAATCCATTTAAATCTTAAAACGACAATCATCAGAATCTCTTACACCAGAGGAAAACCTCCATCACAGGACAGTGGGAGAGTGGACAGGTCCCATCAGCATGGGAATAAGGCCTCCCAGGCTCTGCCCATGGAGAATGTTAAGGAGCGCCCTGCTGTCTCCCTTCTGCCTCTACACAGGCTGCTTCTGAAATCCTAAACCGCATAGGGTGTCACTCTAAAGACAGAGAGATAGTAGCTGCTAAATTAGAGAAGGTCAAGGTCACAAGGTTGTGTTTTGTTTTTCGAGTAAAGTATGTGAAACAGGAGCTTGGGACTGGTCCCCAGGATGGGAACACTCCCTGGGTCTCAGGTAACACATTCCCACAAGCTTTACTCTTCCCTGTGCTGGGCAGGTGGGTGCAGAGTAAAGGTAGGGCCTGCAGGTGAAGAGCCAGCCCAGATGGCTATGTGACCAGCACAGGCTGGTCTGTCCATGAGCACAGCTCAGAGGAAGCTACAGCTGCTACTGAGTGGAGTCACTGGGCAGTACAGGGGGGGAGAAAGGGTTAATTGGATGGGTGAGTGGAGCAAGTGATAGCAACATCTACAGCGCTCTTGTGGAAATAGTGAGGCCTCATGCAGCCACACTGACTTAAGGACAGTCCCTTGTTTCATGAAAACAGGTTTCTAAGGCATGATAGAGCCCCACCTCTTCTTCACAAGCAGCTGTACTAGGAGGCAAATGATTTAGTGTTTCTGTGAGAGGATCGTACAAAGAGAGTAATCATTTGAGGGGGTTCAGTCTGTCAGGTGCTGTTATATTAGGATCAGAGAGCCGTCATAAAATGACTTTCACCCAGGACTTGGCTGGTGATGAACTGTATAGCATCGCCTGTGTGCTTCAGGGAGGCATGCACGCTGATCTGTGCATCCGTTTAATTATCTAAACTGAAAGACCGCTCCCTGCACTTGCATCCTTCACCCGCCTGCCTCATCTCTCCCCCATATTTCTGACATTTGGATTTTCCCCCTACTAACTGACATGCTTGTCGCCTCCTTCTCCTGGTGTCCATTTCTGGAACTGCTGTTTGTACATTGCATGATATTTTACCAGACAAAAAAATAACACTAAGAGGCAATTTCATGAAAATGCTGTTGCCATAATGCTCAGGACAACAGGGGGAAGAGAGAGACTCAAGTCTTCCTAATGTCTACCTTATCTGCAGGTACATTTTACAAGTTTTATTGTATTCTTGCTTGTTAAGCAGTGCATTTTATTTTTCTCTTTTCCATTAGCTTTCATTGCAGAAGGGGGTGGGGAGAATGAGACTGCTGGAAGCGGAGATGAAATTCTATGTATCAGGTCTGTAGGCTACAGAGTTGTAGAAAAGCCCTCATATTTCTTAAAGATGAAAAATGCAACAAATAGTCATTTTATGATACTCCCTTTATCTTTATATTCCCCATGAGAGACTGCTGTACTGCAATGAATCGGCCAGGTTGCCCATCTTCAAATCTCTATGCAGAGCAAGACAATGTGGCAAATGGGAGCAGGTTGCCTGAGGCTGAGGCGTTTAGGATCAATTTCTAATCAATTTCAGGTTTGGCTTGAACAGCTCTTGCTGTAAAATCCTGAAATGGAAGCTCTCCCATAATGCTTTCTGAGCAGGTACATTGTTAGTTTATACAGGTATGCACTGGGTTCCTACAAGATTACTTATCTAGCTAGATATAGTGGGTAGCTTTGCTAACCTTTCATTACTCAGTCTTTGATAATATTCTTTTCATCCTCTGTGCTATTTTTTCCCTCCTGAGGGCTTGTGAGGCAAGGCTTGTAGCACAGCTTGCTTTGCCTGAGTAATTCACTAAGAAAGTCCCACGCAAACCCATGTGGGTGATAATATCTCATCACTTACACCTCATAAGCCTGGTGGACATATATACACCAAAGAGAGAGGGGAAAGAGGTGCCCAGAAAATGGGAAGCAGGGATAAACATGGTTCCTTACTGGAAATATCTTTGAAACATGGTAATGTGGGAGGGATTGGACAGAGGGAAGACTGCAAACTGGAGATCAAACCCCTAAAAGGCTTTAGGCAGCAGATTTTCCTTTGCTCTCAGAATTATTCACATGTTTTAAAATAACTTAATTATCAAGAATGTCCAGGGTTAAGCAGCCAAGACCTTAGCTGTTCCCTGCCCCCCCATCCTACTATGAAAAAAAAAAACCAAAAAACACAAAACTACTCATCTAAAGGCCAAGCATTTCAAAACTGTGGGTGCATAAACACTTCCAATTCAATAAGCAACCCACACAAACAATGTTTCTGGATTTGCTTTTCTTCACCAGGGTCCTGCTTAAAATATGCTCTCCTTTTACATATGCGTAATAATTACATCTCTAATGTTAATGTGGAAAGCCTTGCTGCTTATAGAGAGCATTTAAACTCACCATAGGGGGGAAGCTTCACTGTAGAAAGTGACTATTCCTTTAATTTTCCATTCTCCACCAAGGTTTCACTGTGCCTGGTTATGGGATTGTCACTGGCAATAATACACAGAATCCCCTCTGATAACATGTGTGTCCTCTGAAACACCAGTTTTGCATTGGGGCTGCATTTCTAGTGGTTTCTACAAAAGGCAGTTAAATGAATTCTTAAAAATTATTTTAATTCTAGCCTTCAAAGAAGAATCTTGCTTATAGCAGAATCACAGATTTGATCTCAATGGTCCTGAATAATTTTTAGCTTTCCCATCTCTCTTTGGGACCTTCTGCAGAACTGTAAATATCCAGGTTCATTCATCATCAGTGCCTTTCTAATTAAATGGTGATAAAAAAGAATGTTAAATATTTAGGGGAAGGGGAAAAAAAAGGTTTTAGTCTCCTAAAAGAAGTAGAGGGAAAAATACCTTAAAATCAACTTACTGAAAATTCAGAAACTTCTTTCATTTCTAAAACAATGCTCCTGAAAATCAACATTTTTGAGTTTTGGATCTAGCCATGTGTGAAGGATTCTGAACTACACCTAAGATTTAATGTACAGGTAGATTTTGGCAAAAGAGGAGCCCAGATAATGATGCATTTATTTTCACAATGCCTAGGAAGGTATTACTACTCTCAGTTACTCTTGAATTTCAACCCTAATACCGCATCCCCAACCCCAATATACCTACTTCACCACTATTCACCAAAATAAATCTCTCTCTGTGTCTCATCTCTATCATTCCTCTCCACTTTCTGCTTGGAAGTAAATGCATCTTTAACAGCAGAACACCATGTTCTCATGATGTGTTAAATAAATAGCCTTTTTCTTCCCTGTTCCATGTCACTTCTTGTCATTTGTTACGGGTGAAAAGTGTGATAACACTGGCAAGCCAGGCAAAAAGAAAAGGGGGAAAAAAGAATTCATGAAGACAGAAGATGTTTTTCATAAAAGCCCAGGTGACCGTATTAGGGAGAGACGTGAGCAAATCAGTATTGCTGATGATTCATGGTCACATTTCTCCACACTTTGCTGTATGCTTTTAAAATGCATCACTCCTTGCAGTCCATAGAGCTCTGGAATGTTCACATGTATCTCTAATACTCCCATTCCTTCTGCCTCATTAATGTATTCTAGGTAGTTGTGCTTTCCCCATTCTATAAAATCCTGACTTTTCCCTGGATGTTGAGAGAAAGCAGGGGGGTAACTGATAGCCACTAAGATTAGGACATTGCAGACCGGGGCTGGGAGTAGGTGCAATTGCATTTCGCTGGAATATTAACTGGCAAGCAGAAAAAGTCTTTGGGAAGCGCCCTCTTGTGGTCAACTGTTTCCTGTTAATGAGAGGAAAATGTGCAACCCAGAAGACATCCATCAGTGAAGGGCAATTGACCAGAAAGTCCAGAAAACTTGTGTGGAAGGGCAAAGGTCAACTCCACTTTTAGATGACTTTCTTGAGGTGGGGAAAAAGTCCCTTCAGCAAGGCTTCTCAACCTTCTATTTTGGCAATTCAAATTTCTAAGTCAGATCATCCTCAATTGGTAATCTTAAGAGAGCAGGTTCCTTGTGCTGTTTTTACCAACACCTGGGCTGTGTGAGAATTTTCCTTATCTCAGTCATTTGCCTTCCTTTCCCTATGCTTTCTCTATTAAGTGTGCTCAGTTATTAATTACTAGAATCGGCACATAAATTTGGCAACATTTATACTGTTGGAGAGTTAATGTTATAGTGTTATTGTATGTTTAACTGGCAATCTGTAGTCATGAGTCAAAATAAGGTAAACTACAACACAGCAGGAAGGCTACTGACAACTGATAGCGTCTTCATGTTACCCATCCCTTCTGTCTTTCTTTTAAATAAAGAATGTCTCTTTAAGGCCTTAAGGTAAAGACTGAGGATTCTGTCACAAACTAGCTACACCAAGTTCATGCTAATATTGGTGGGCATTTGGGTGGTATACTTAAAAACAAACAATTTTTCTTAACTGAAAGAAAAGTCAGGATTCCTAGAGAATTCTCCCATATATTCCTTGATAACAACTGTATTACCTTTACACTTTCTACCTGGGCCCTGTGGGACAAACTCAGTTTAAAGAGTTTCAAGCCCCTTAGTTTTTATATTATCTCATATTATTGAGAGAAAGATTGGCATGAAGATGAAGCCCAAAGTACAGAGGAATGGAAATGGCCAAATCATTATCCTACAAAAATTCCAAGAGAGTGATTTGCTTTGAATGTTCAAGAAGTCAGAAAGAGTGGTGCATTACTCTCATTAGACAGTTAAAGTGAGTGATCATTGGTCCAGTGGTCAGGACACAGGCACACTTCATTATAGTACGACTGCAGCTTTGATTGCTTAGTTTTATGAAACAATAAATGAGAGAAAATGCAAAACTAAATATATATTCCTAAACTGATGGATATTTTCAGCTGGTGGGAATGTGTTTATCGCAGGCACAAGAAGGACACTTTGAAAAATTAGATTCTGTACCAAATAGTTTATAAAGAAAAGAAAAATACTTGCCTTTTCCTATTCTCCAAAAATCTTGACATTCCACAGAGTTGGCATATTATTTAAACTGAATTATTCCAAAAGCTACAAAGACAGCTCTTTGCTGTCCACTTTCATATGTTCACCATAGTCATTCAGATTATATATCACTTCCTTAGGTAGCAAAATCCACATCAAAATGCTCACTTGGTTCTCTACAAAAGAGTAGATTATCTACTCTGAAAGAATTAAATCTGTGAAATTACATGAACTCAACTTTAGGTTGATGCTTGGAAGTTCTTAAATGAGAAAAATCAACAAATATATTAAATTTCTTCTAAGAAACTACTAGCTCTCTCAAAATCAAGTTGAAAACTCATCCAGAAGGAGTTTTCCATTACAGAACTCAAACTTGGGTCAACATATAAATCAAATGAACTACCTTTATAAAAAAACAAACAAACAAAATCTCATTTCTTTCCAATCAAACACCTCCCAGAAAAGTAAAAAGGACAAGCCTCATATTATTGAGAGAAAGATTGGCATGAAGATGAAGCCCAAAGTACAGAGGAATGGAAATGATCAAATCATTATCCTACAAAAATTCCAAGAGAGTGATTTGCTTTGAATGTTCAAGAAGTCAGAAAGAGTGGTGCATTACTCTCATTAGACAGTTAAAGTGAGTGATCATTGGTCCAGTGGTCAGGACACAGGCACACTTCATTATAGTACGATGTTACAGCTATCTCAATAGGTACTTGCAATTGAGGCCATTTCAGGGGCATTCAATATACAAAATAATACATGTGTTCCTTATGTGTCAGGACATGGAAATCACTTTATGCCACTGGAATCTATCCTATACGTATGATCTAATGCAAAAGCATTTTCTTTCCTCTCTTACAAAGATTAAAAAATTTTAAAAATTTTCCACTTGAAAACTCCAACCTCCTCCCATCAGTAAGTTTCAAAAGATAGAATAATAATTATCACATCCTGTGAAACTGCATCAAGGAAGAACTTTAAAGAAAGGGGAAAGACCATTCTTGAAAACCCTTCTAGAGAAAAGGTTTACTCACTGGAAGTTTGTGGGACACTAGGACTTCTGAGGGGCACCATGAAGGCAGCAGGCTGTCTGCTCCCCAAAAACCATGTCCGGAAAGTAACATCTGACTCAACAGGTTTTCAAGATTGGAAATTCTGAGTGTTTCCTTAATTGTTTATATTGCTGTGGCAAACTTTTAAACAAAAATGCTGGGAGTCCCTACATATATTTTACTGGCCATATGCTCTCCCAAACAAAACAATGGCATTCCTTTCAAAGGGATTTGGCAAGTGGTGGGAATCTGGAGCCTGGCATTACCATGAAACTAATGCAGTATTAATGTACATGTGTGCGTGTGTGTGCCAAGCATGCATGGGTTTGCCAGCCCGCAGAGGGATCTGTGTCACATAACTGCTCCATACTTTTGACAGGCATTTTCTATCTAGCAACAGGTTAGTTAGTGTTCCTGGACCAGCGATCCAGATTTATTAAAGTTCTTCCTCTTAAGGACTGAGTGAGAGTTCAGTAGTATCTGAGAGCACTTTGTCAAGGTTGCATTCCTTGGCAGAGAGCTCTCAGCAACTTTACAAAGAACAAAACTCTTTTTTTTTCCTTGTTTAGTCAGTATTGCAAAAGTGGCTGCCGATTCTGTGTCAACTGCTCCTCAGACCAGCTCTTCCCTGCCTCCAACACCCTGGCTGTACAACTCTAGACAGTTTCTAAAGGTAAAAAGGGCTCTCACTCATAAAATCCCCCTGCTTCTACCCTGATTGGACTTTTCAAAGGGAAGGGTGGTTTTAAGACCCTGACTTCATCCTTGCCATTCCACCTCATCACGGACTGCCACCCCCACCCCAATAAAAACTTTGGCGGGGTTCGAAGCCTCCTGGGTTTCATGCACCTGGAGGTGCCCAGCTGCCCTCCTCTTGGCCCTCTGGGAGACAGTTTTCCAGGCAGGGCGAGGGGCCGTAGAGTAGCGTCCAGTGCGGCTGGCCCGGGGCTCCCAGGGCGACCAGAGGTCAGCGAGCCGGAGCAAGCCACCCCCAACCAGAGCTTTCCTGGGAGCCCTTCCTCGATGGCATCCTGGCCACCACCTCGCCCAGCACTCCCCAGCTGGAAGGAGAAGCCTTCTCAGGATCGGGGGAGGTCACCCTGCCACGCTCCCGCCGGGGCACCCACCTGATTCCGCAAACGTGATGATCTCGGAGGTCTGCTCCAGGAGCTCATTCATTTCTGCCCTGCGCCCGATGTCGTCCTCGATCTCCACGTACCCGTTCTCCCCCACTTTGCCCACATGAAGCTTCCGGATGGCGTTCAGAAGCGCCGCCTTGGGCACCGGCTGGGTGACATCGGGTCTCTTCTTCAAGTGGAGCATGTTTAAAATGTGCCTCTTGACGGCCTCTACCATGTCCGGCTGCGAGCTGGGCGCATCCTTGGGGAGGGTGGCCAGGGCGCAGGCTGGGCAGCCAGGGTCTGCACTGTGCCCCTCGGACGCCGGGGTCGGGGAACTCCTCACTATAATCCAGCAACTCGCCAGCAGGAATCCTCTCAGCCACAGCCAGGGCATCCTGGCAGCAAAAGTTGTTGTGATTGCCTTTTTCAAAGGCCCTGCTCTTCCTCCCCCCTCACGCACAGGTTGTGTGTGTGTATGTGTGTGTGTGGTTTTTGTTTTGTTTGGGGGGTGGGTTTTTTTTTTGGTGTGTTTTGTGGGGTTTTTTTCTTCTTCTCCTCTTCAGCAGATTCTCTGGAACAAGAACAAAAAAAAAAGTTTTCTGTGAAGTTTTGTTTGCAGGTTCCCTCTCTGAATGCAGTGAGTGCTGTAGGTTTGTGGCTGTCAGGGAGGCGAGTCCGAGAGTCTCCGAGTAGGAAAAAAGAGGGGAGGGAGGGAGAGGAAGGGAGGGAGAGAGGGAGGGAGAGACAGGGTGGGGGGAAGACAGAGACAGAGAGAGTAAGGGAGGGAGAGAGAGAGGAGAAAGGGAGAGAGAGAAGGGAGAGAGGGAGAGAAGGGAGAGAGAGAAAGACAGAGAGAGAGAGAGAGAGGGAACGGATTGGCCCTAAGTGAGTGAGTGAATGGGAAAGGGAGGGAGTTTGTGTGCGAGTTAAGCTGTGATTAGGGAGGAGGGACAGCCCGTTTTCTGACAGGCTGCCTTGCTCAGCTCACTGCTCCCTCACACACCACACACACACACACACACACACACACACATCCCCCCTCTCTTCAAATATCACCATTTTCCGTACTTCTACTTTCCCTTCTAAACACATTCTCCCAATTGTTCAACTGCTTGCTTTTTCTTTCTCTGGCCAGTTCTCTGGCTTTACCTTCTTCCTCTTTTAGCAGTGGGGGAGGGGGGAGACAAACAAACACACTGTCTCAGTAAACAGAGATGACTGGTTTGGAAAAGCACACTCCCAGTTCCCCTTCACCCCCTGCTAAGCCCCAGCCTCGGTAAGGTGTCCACCTTAGCTCAGGAGGTGGACTGAGGGGTCCTGGGCCAGACTGACAGGTAGTGGAAATGGAGAAGAAGGGCTGAGGAGCAAAGGTAGCTGCTCTGGGCCAGTTCCTGTCTGAATGAATCAGAGAGAAGATGTTCCTTTCCCCATTCATTCATATTTAAATATCCAGGGTTATTATCAACACAGGCAGAGCAACTTTTGTTTGAAGTCTTAAAAGACCCTGTACTTCTCCCAACCACAAAATGTGGCTTAGTGTTGAAAGACCCCAATGGTAGGCTGTGTTTGACTTGCCTGCCCTATGAAGCTCTTTCTCTTCTCCTCTTCACCCATCCCCTTCTATCTTATGAACAGTCAAGCTTACAGATTACAGCTTACCACCACTTACTCTGACTTCACAGAATGCAAAACGCATTCGACCTTTCCCACATAATTCTATAGAACTAGTGCTCTCCTCTGACTTGAATAACTGGCCCTCAGAGGAAAGCCTCTCTGAGATATATTGGCAGATCATTTTCTCTGTCATGTGGTAGTTTGCTCAGTGTCCCCTGCTCCTGTCTCCACAAATGCATTTATAGGCAGGCTCCTCCACTGCTGCTTTCTGCCTTGAAGCAACAGCACAGAGAACGCCATCATGAGGTTTTTAGTGTCCACCAATAAGAAAAGTGAGACTTTTAAAAACAATACCTTTCTGAAGTTTGTATTCCACTCCCCCTTTATTTGTAATTTTCTGTCTTATGGTTTTTATCTTGCAGAAGTATCTTTAAGAGGTCCATCTGTTAAAGTGTTCCTTCCCTCTCAGTTTCTTTCCTACACACAAGCCCTCTCTGTTTCTGTAGACACAGTCAGCTTATAGCTGACACCTAGTGTGCTCAGAGCATTATAGTCAAGCAATGCAATTTGGGTGGAAAAAGTAATAAATAGCATTACTACAAGTGCAAGATCTAATCACAAGGGAATGAGGGTGAGTAAATTGTGACACTATGTAAAAATTCCAGTTCAGTTTGCTTTTCTGAAGTGTGTACACTACTCCCCTTCCCCCAAACAACGATTTGCAAGACTTTTTTCTGCTACTAGTCATCTATCACCTTAGGGGTTTCAGTTCCTGGAACATCAATGACTGCTATCACTGCAAAGATTTTGTCAGCGTTGCCTAAAATGCCTTGAGTTTGAGTGAAGGACAGTGAGAAAAAGTTGGGGAAGTATCTGAATATCATTGTTTAATAAAGCATCTTTGTAGCACAAAACTTAACATAGTCTACCTATTTGGAATCACATAAAAGCGCTCAAAATATTTGAGAGTCCAGTTAAATTTCACAACAGATTCTGAAATAGAACTAAAATCTTAGTGACAAAAAAAAAATTCAAAAGACCTAAGAGCAGCATTAAGATAAGAACAAATTATCAGTGTTTGGATTATTTTTGTATGTATGTATGTGTTCCTTGAAACTACTATTTGTGAATATAGCTCTTAAAAACAGTTTTCTCTTTGGCATATGTACATGTATATTATATATATATATATATATATATGTATATATATATATATACTGAGTGGGTTGCATAAACACAGGCTCTATTTGCAGGCTCTAGGAGTATTAAAAGTTGTATTAAACTGACTGGTAAATGTTAAAAGATACAAATCACAACTCACAGAGATGTGCCAATAAGTTGTAAAACCCCTTCTTTCCCTTCTAATTATGAGTGTAGAAATAGCTCATAAGCAAGAGTTAAAAATCATTACCTTACTGGTCCTCTCTTTTTCAGCAGACTCCTGTATCATGTGGTAAGAGCTGTCTGAGTTCCTCTTCATGGTATTGGCACTGGGAAGTTTTATACTGTACTACTTACTTATTTGTACACTCACACATTGGTACCACTCAAACAGAGGAGGGCTGTGGCTTTGTTGTGGATTGGTTAGAATCAGCATGACATCAGCAGATGACTGGTTTTTCCAGTGTGAGACATATTTCATAATTCATTATCTAATGGAAAGCCCTGCTTGGCTGCTTGTGACAGTGCTGGTGATACAAGGAGCCAGTGAATCCTCTGGCTGTGACTAGACTACTCTTTAGAAAATACTGAAATGGGGTAACTACAGCTCCTTCAGTGTCCAACTCTCGACGCCTGTTCCTGTTCTCTGTGGTCAGGTTCAGTTTTATCTCTTGACATGAACCATCTGTTACTTCATGAAGTTGCCTCTATTTACTAAGTATTTTCTTGTTTCTTACAAGATCAGATTCTAATTTTCTTTGTCTTTTCAAAATAAGATCCTTCACTGCAGATGAATCAGGAAAATTAGATACGCCCACAGGCTGATGGCGTCTCCTCCCCTGACTTACACTATTCATTTACATCTCGAAACTGAATGCCTGCTTCATAAATCATTTATCATCAAGAACTCTGGAAATAGCCATTCTTTGCAATTAAAGTTTATAAATAAGTATCTTTCCCAGGTTTTCAGAATCACAGCCTACTAAACTAGTAAGGAAATAAGAAATCTCAGAGTTCATTCTTCTCTATTAGAACTTCATATCCTATACTTTGTAAGTTATGATAAATATAACATTAATGAAACATGGTTAATAATCCTTGAAATAGGAGTAAAGTTGGTTGGCTTTCCACTTTTGCTTTGTTGCTGCTTTTTCTTGTTTTGTTTGCCAGGTAGCAAGAGGGTCTGTTGGCAAGCTTGAGAAATAATGCAGGAAGGAGGACTCCTCAGACCAGAAAAATCTTTTTTTTGAAGGAGTATAGTTGAAGTATAAGTTGATTCTCATGACAAGTTGGATAAAATGTGCAAAATTGGGAGCTAATGAAAGCCATATGATCAGATATATTGTTTTGCATGCAGGATTTAACATGCATAAAATAAACTTTTCACTGTGCCCACAAGCAAAACACAGTCTCTGGCCTCCTGATGTGTGGCTGAAGTAGGTTCCTCAGGACATCAGAAGTTTTCTGTGTGACAGAACTGTCCTGACTAAAGGCAATAGCCTCTCTTGATCTGTCCTCTTTAAATGAGCCAATTACAACTCATAGGGACCCTATAGGAATTACCCACATTTTAGTTGGCAGCCAAGCACTCTAACCACTGTGCCACTAGGGCTCCTGTATATTCCAAACTCACTGACAACCCAGGGGAGAATCACTCTACAGAGTTTCCAAAGCTGTAACTCTACCAAAGCAAACCATCTCTTCTTACTCCCACAGCACTGCTGGAAGATTTGAACCTACTATCTTTTGGTTAGCAGCTGAATTCTTAAACCACTACACCAGCAAGATTGCTTATATGTATAGGACAGGAGAAAACAACTAATAATATAAGAACTGGATATGCAGCAATGCAATATGACATGTAATCTTTAGGCTGTAGAAGAACAGAGGAAATCTGTGAGGAAAAGATAAAAGCAGGTGAATCCCAGACATGTGCGTCAATTTAGAATTGGATCATTTTAAATGCTCCACAAGAAAGAAATGTCTTCACCTTCTAGACAAGCCCTAGGGGAGAGCAAAGATCTGTAGGTCACCCTGACTCATTCCAGTCCCCACCCTACACCTCAGTGTTTGAGTTTGAGGACATAAAACAAACCTGCACAGTCCCCATCCCTTCTGTTGATTAACTATTTAACCCCGTGCCTCAATATTCTTATCTATAAAATGGAAGCAATAATCACTAACAGAGGGTCAAGTGTTCAAATAAAGCAGATGATATTTTGGAGATTTGTGGGTGGATCTTTACAAATATTTGTTCCACATGACTCTAGGTTTCTAGCAGAGCTGCTACCAGAGCTGTGACTTTGGAACCTTAACTAACATCTGATGCCACAGGAGAGCCCACCTGCTAGCCCAGGTCTGTCACCAGCTCTGACCTGGTGCTGTACTTGAGTCTTCAACCACAGCCATGAATTCATAGTGACAGTGAATTCCTCAGTAGGAATTAAGATGAGGATGACAAAGGAAGCAAAAGAAAAAAATCTAAGTCTGGCAATCCCCTGTGTTACAGAACAGAGTCGGTTCACTGGGCTTTCTGGCTTGTAGTATTCACAGAGCACCAGACTTTCCTATGCTGCACCAATAGGTGGGTTCCAAAAGCCAACCTTTTGGCTCCTAGTCAAGCAGGAACTATTTTTTCCACCCAAAGATCTTGCAGAGGAAGCAGCGAGGTTAAAATAACTTCTGGAGATTATTCTGAACTGGGAAATTTTGTTTCCCTTCTAAATTCGAGGGCCTGGGGAACATAAACTGGTCAGCCCTGCTCCAGACACAATTTCTTTTTTCCTTCCACGGGTTTGGTTTCTGTTTCACTTCCTGCCCCTTCCCAGGCAGCTTCCCCGCACCCAGGCCCGGCGGATCCAGTGGCTGGGCCCTGCTACTGTACCTTGAGCATCACCTGCTGGCAGCTTCCAGGGAGCACGCCTAAGAAACGGGACACTGCTCAGCTCTGAGATGCCAAGCTGTTCTGAGCTGCTGCCTCTATTTTTACTCTAAGCACCAGCAAGGGCAACTTCTTTTAAGAGCTGCGCTTGATTTTTCCCCCCTTTTGGCAGCTAAAGAATTGAGGGGAAAGGGGATAAAAAGATCACTGTTTAGTGAGGGCAGCTGGGAATCTTTGAGGTTGGCCCTCAGTGCCAAGGACAAAAATCACAGCAAACGTCAGGGACCAGGACCTCCAGTTTGGCCTGTGGGCGGATCCACCTCAGACAAAGGCCAGCCAGGGAGCGCACCAGCAAACTCTTTTTCTAATTGTAGACAGCGAGCCTACCAGCTACTGTCCAAGCAAAGTGGCCCACTGCCACTGTGTTGTTCACCTCATGGAGGCCACTTGATTTACTGGCTATCACACAAAGCTCCCAAGACACTCAGAAGCATTTGCATGTCTCTGTTCTCGCCTTGTGGAGCAGCCACTAGAGAACCCCGGTGGCGGAGCAGCTTGCTGTAAGAATGAGCCTGGAGGAAAATTGTGGTACCTTATTTTACTGTAATTGCAAAAGGAAAGATGTGCCAGCGATTTATATTTAGAAGTTGTATGTTTCTACTTTTATGTAAATGGAGCAATTAGGCCCTGTCTTGCTGCTGCTAACTCCAGTGCCTGTTCATTGCTGGGGAGCTGGTGTTTTCAATCACAATTAGTGAGCTGGTCAAAAACAAAGTTCCTTTAAGGATAAGGGCTCCACTGGGCGCTCAGTTCTGGTGTGTGTCCCTGTGGTGTGTGGGGACACATACCTTAGGAGCACCCTTGGCAGCATCTGCTCTGGTACAAAGTTGGTATGGATTGAGAGCAAGAAAGTTCATTTTTCTTCTCAAGCAAACCTTATGTCCTGTTTTTATCCATGTCATTAATTGATTTCTTTCCTCACTACTCGTGGAATAAGGAAGCAGACCTTTTAGAAAGGGGGCTGTTTTTCATGGTTTTTATTTTAGCTGCAGCTCACGCATCCCCTTTATTCAGTCAGAAATAAAAGCCAGGAACTGTGAACACCCCAAGCAGGTGACTGGGAAGATGTCATCTGATTCAGCTGAAATGACACAGGCTGGGGACTCAGAGGCATGGACAAGGCTGCTGACGAGTCAGGGTGTTTTAGTTCCTTCCTATGAAAAATCTGTTTCCAAAAATGCATGCTTTCTGGTTCATCCCGTCTGGGAAACTGAGCATAAAACGTGACTGTGGAGAGAAATCAAAAGGACCCGAGGTGTTCTCAGCAGCTGATGTGTTAGTCTAGGTTTCAGGCAGGAAAACCTTCCCTGTTGGTGAGAGGGTGACTCCTAAGGGAGGCAGATCAGAATAGAGAAAATGTGGCCATGATCCAGAGTGGTATTCGCTACAGTGAGATTACAAGAGTCTGATGAAGGCTTTCCTCAAACGGTTTAAACTGAATACAGGATTGGCAAAGGCTTCCAGTTTCCTGGACAGCCACAGCCTGCAAATTGCCTGGGCTGCATATTATTAGGTAAAGAGATTTTTGGACAAAGAAGGACGAACATTTCACATCCAAAATTGAACTGGGAACCTATTTTTGTTTGTTTGTTAAAGTCAGTGAATGAATAGTTCTCAACGGAGAGCAGAGGGAAACATTGCAGTTCCCCCAAAAGGTGCTAAAAACAACTTGCTATTATATGTGGTTAATTCAGAACCAGCTCATAGCTGACCCTCCAGTGAGTTTTTAGAGGTTATAAACAGCATGGGAGAAGATTGTCCATCCTTCTTGCATGAAACATCTGTTTGATTCTATTCACATTGGGTTGGCAGCAAAACTCTTTACCACTAAACCACCAGATCTCCCTTAGAAAACAAGAGGGTAAAAAATTAGCAAATCCAAAACATTTTTCCTAAGCTTCATGGGTCTCCTAAAATCGCCCAGCCTGATGCGGTGAGTGAATGTCCTATTTGTAGAGTACTTGAAAATGCTGTTGTCTGAACCAGGGAAATTCAGATGCTAGAACTAAAATGAATGGGAGTGTAAGGAGTTGGGGTGGGGAGGCCTAGTGAGTAAATTGTTATATCGCTATTCTTCAAACTAAAGATGTGGTTCACAAAGTGGAGCGATTCTGCCACTTAGGGAACATTCAATGTCTAGAGACGTTTCCATTGTCTCAGTTGACATTTTTAGTTGTCATTCCTGGCATCTAGTGAGTCAAAACCTGGGATGTTGCAAAATAGCCGACAGTGCACAGGATATCCTCAGCTCCAAACCCAACAAATAATTGTCTAACAAATAATTACTGCCAGTTCAAGGATTCTCATTTAGAGTTACAATTTCATTTTATCTATTTAACTCTTAACTATCGTTCAAAAGCTTTGACAACCAAGAAAAAC